ATTTAATTGTGTCTTTCGTTAAATTTTTTGAACTTGTTTTCTATTGGCCAATCATATCTTGTAAAATCACGGAATGATCTACAAAAATTAGCCAATCGGAATGAAAGCCCGCTATGCTCTAGAACCCATTTATACTTTTATTGTAAATTTTATGCGGAGGTTTTTAATTAGTATAAATTAAATAAATTAAGTGAGTTATCATTTTAATGAACAAATCAGCCAGTCGCTCAAGCATTACTTTTATATTAAACAATGGATTTTTTAACTGGTTTAAAAAACAGCCACCTTATTGTTAATGCTCGAAACTTTAAAATAAATACAGTAATCGATACCTTGATTCGAATGTAATAAATATGACCCCATCTTTTAACCTTTAATAAGACTAAGATAAATACAGTACTGTTATCCCGTTTTCGCCCCATATTTAATAGATACTGTGATGAATCTTCGAAGACATTTCACATTATCTATATTACCTTCAGTGCAAAATAACAACCAAAAATTTGGAATTTCTATATATTGCCTATAAACAAAAGTTTTTTTTTAAAACATACCGTATTATTAACAAAAAAAAAATTAGCTTTAAAGCAACTTTCCGTTACTGTTGCAACAAAAATTTAAATCGATAAAATCATTAAAATGAGAAGCTGACGCTATTGAAGTTGAAACTTTAGCAGATTGTTGGATAAATAAGAAATTTTTTATTAGGCTTTTTAGAAGGCGAAGAAATAGTAAGAGTACGTAAATATCATTATTGATTGTGATACTTATGCGTTATCATGATCATTGACTAAAAAAAATGCACCCAAAATTTGTATTGGTGGCTTGTCTATTTTTACACTCATTTCAGTTTAATCTGATTTCATTTTAATCCGCCACATTTATTTAATTAATGCGAATGACATTATTTGAATGAAGGGTGTAAATAATGCGAATGGAATAATTTTGAAAGCATTTTATAATGGTAAATACTACTGTATTATGTTTGTTTGGGAATTTGATTTATTGATCTTGACCAACTAATAAATGTTCATATTTATAGGCCGAATGAAATAACTAACGCAAATAAAACTGATTCGAATGGTATTTATATTTTTGATTTGTGAGCTGGTTTTCTTTATGTTCAGAGCTGATTAAGGCAAATGGAATACAGTAATTTATCATATGTAATCATTTTTCTAGATTACTTCTAAATGTGTTTGTAAAAAAGAGACTTCAAAATTTCAAGACGGAACTAAATCTCTTTGAAAAGATTACTTTAAACTTCTTAACAATGAAGAGAATTTTGACGTAATTATCAGTGTCGAAGATGCCTTAAACATTTTGAAAGGTATTATGGAAAACCGGTTAGAGTTGAATAAAATAATTAAGGCAAATAAATGATTCGAAGGGTTAAACAGGTTAAGAATAATGTTTTTGTACTGAAAATTTTATCACATTACATACTTATTAGCTTGTTATTTAAATGACACTTTAGAAGGGTTTAGATGCAAATTTTATACATACAGTACTACAATCTGGCTAGTCATACGTACGTACATATTAAGTACTGTAGAATGCTGCACCGAACATTGTAAAAAGAACCAATACCCGATTTTTATATTCCAAATTTGTTTAATAAAGAAAAAAAATACTGTATTAATTTATTGGCGTTAGTTACCATAGAATGCTGCACAAACATACTGTATACTGTATAAGGGAAAAAAGGCGACTCTGGTACATGGTAAAGAGAACCAGTACCCGATTTTTACATTCTATATTTGTAAAATGAAGCAATTCAACCAAACATTGGGGATTCCCTTTTTATTTAACAAACTGGAATTAGGCTTTTATTATAAACTTTGTATTATTGCAGTTTGCACGAAGGTGTAACTTCTACAGTTTTATTTTGTTATGAGAATTCACAGGAAATTACCCTATTTTTTTATAATTCTATAGATTCGGAATAAAATTTGAATGAAAAATATGGTCGATAGAAATTGAGATTTCCTGTTATTATCATAACAAAAATCACACAATTACACCTTTTACAAAATGCTAAAGCGATTATGTGAGTATGCAAAATTAAATTTTTAAGACCAAACTGCCCAAATTTGAGACGGACTGTTAGCAAAATAGATTTGAACAAATCGTAGCCCCAACAAAATCAAAAGTAAAATATTACTGTACTTAAAATACTTATCTTAGTATTACAAAAATCATAAAGAATTCCAGAATTCTGCAATGCATAAGTGTATCCACGCCAATTTTTTCTACAAAAAAAAAAAAAAGAAAAAAGAATGTAGAATTGTAGAAGATACCAATTCTTCATATAATAAAGCTACAAAAAAAAAAAATTAAAATTGCTTTTTAATAAAACGATTATAAAAAGGATTTAATTTATCATATTTTTGTTAAATAAAACTTACTCCTATAAACTATTGCAACGGCAGCATGTCTTCTAAAAAACAAAAAAATACTCTTAATAATGAACAAAGAAAAGAAGTCATTGAATTCAAAGATAAGAACCCCAATATTAGCCACGTTGATCTTGCCACGTGGGTAAAAAATAAATTTAATCTAGAAGTCCATCCGACTACCATTGGACGTTTAGTAAAAAATAAAGATGACATTGGCGATAATCCCACTAAGAAAAGGCAAAAACAGTCCAATATCCAGACCTTGAAAATACATTACTTGAGTGGATTCTACAAAACCAAGACAAAATTATAATAAGCAATGCAATTTTGATCGAAAAAGCAAAACATTTGCTAAAATCTTAAAAATACCTAACGACAACCTTAAGTTTTCACACGGATGGTTATTTAAGTTCAAAAGAAGGCATGGTTTAGAACAAATAAAAAAGCATGGAGAGGATTCTTCTGTAGATGATAATGTAGTTGCAATAGCCGTTCCCCAGTTAAAAGAGATTCTAAAAGAATACAGCTTAAAAGATATTTACAACATGGATGAAACGGGGTTATTCTATCGGTATATAATAATAAAGGAAGAGAAAAAAAAAAATGATGCTAAGGGAAAATCAGACTTCGATTAATATGATTGAAGTCTGATTTTCTCTTGACATCATCCAAACCGATATTTATTAATTCTTCTTTTTTTTCCTTCGTTTGTTAGTCTTGAGCCAGATACTTGCAACTACTCGTCTTAAGGGTAAAAAAAAAAATAAAGAGAGGTTAACTGTGGCACTTTGTGCCAATGCTGATGGGACAGATAAATTTAAACCCTTTGTAATAGGTAAGTCTTCCAACCCACGGTGCTTCAAACATATCAAACGCAACAAGCTCGGTGCCACATATGGGTCAAGTAGCAAGGCATGAATGACGAATGTATTGTTTCAAACATGGCTTAAAGAATTTGACTCAAAAATGGCCAGCTATAAGGTAATTCTTCTAGTAGATAATGCCAAGTGCCATTTCTCAAGTAATTTAAATCTTCGCAACACCACTACCCACTATCTCCCTCCAAACACAACATCTCGCTTACAACCACTGGATGCCGACATTATCATGTCCTTCAAGCATCGCTACAAAAATTATTTTATAAAATGGTTACTTGACCAATATGAATCTGTGAAAGATGATAAATTAAATGTTCTTAATGCTATAAAGTTTGTTATTCAAGCATGGAAAGAGGTGTCATCAGAAACGGTATGTACATAGAAGGGATGAATTACCTTAAAATTATTGGAATAATTGAATACTGAAATTAAATTTCTAAAATTAAAAAATTATTAATAAATAAATTAAATTATTTACCGTATCGTCACGAAATAACACCCCCCCCAGGTGTTATTCCACGAAGATACAGTAAATAATTTAATTTCATTAAAACTTGAAAATGGTTTCACTTATCTATTAGGTACGTAATTGCTTCCAGCACACAGAAATCCTTCCAGTTCAAAATAACGAATACGAAGAACCTATTAATGATGACGATGATTATGAGTTAATGGAAGAGATGAAAATAGATATTGAACTGCTTAATTTTCGAAATGCAATGGATCTTGAGGTTTATATTAATTACCCGGAGGAGAAAGATACAAGCGAAGTCTTAAATGATCAGGAAATCGTAACTTTAGTTACTAACGTCGAAGCCACAGAAGATTTAGGTGAAGGCGACAATAGTGAAGAAGATGAAGACGACAGTAAGGAAATCTCTATGATTACCCACCATGAAGCGTTAAATGCCATAGAGGTACTGGAACAATACCTTATGCAACAGGATCTAAGTGACAAAGCCCGGTTAGAACATGACCAAGCATTATTAAATTTGCAAAAGGTAATCAGAAAAACTAGAACCGGGTCTTTTAAACAAGTAGACCTTGAAACCTTTTTCAGGTTAACTGATTAGATTAGAGTACAGTAATAAGTAAATTAGTAATTTTTTTTGGGGTTATTATACAGTACGTAGATTGTCGAATTTTATTATTACATAAATGAAAAAATAAAGCCACTCATATAAGCATTAAAAAAAGAAAAATATATATATATGTAACGATCGAACTGTTAGTGTAATTAATGTGTCACGTGATGATATATATATCGCGATATTATTGGCTGTTCCCTAATTGCAGCCCCCCTAAATGCACGCTTTGGAGCCGGTCCCAACAACGTGCATTTAGGGGGGTCTGACTGTACGTTGAATCAATTTTTTGTAGATTTGGGTGATGAAAAAACTGAATTATATAGGCAAATTAAAAATATCAAAGACTTAGACAAAAATTTCTTAACATATAATCAAGTCAAATTGGCACAATTCAAATATCAGACACATCCACAAGCTATTTATACAAGTCGATTTTTGAATATTCCAAAACTCCCTAAACCAGGTAATAACACTTCTATTTTTTAAAAGTTAGTAATATGTTATTAATTGTAAAAATCTCTAAATCTGTCAATATAGTAAATGCAGGTAATGATATTTATTTTTCAAATTGAATTCAAATTGTAGTTTTAATATATTAATATGTATATATTTTAGCAAGTCAACCCATTAAATATGTTGAAGTTCTCGACGGTAAGTAATATCTGATTTACTTATAACTAATCAAGTTTGTTGCTTATTTTATATTTATATTTAGATTATTAAATCAAGTAAAAGGAAGTTATTGAATTAGGGACATTCTATTTTATTATTTCCATGCTACAATAATTCAGCAATCGTTATGTATCTTTATGTATGGGTACGTATCTAAAGAGAAAAAAGATATATACCAATTTTCGCAACAACTGTTTTGCAGACAAAGTTGATCGATTTAAGTTAGGATTGGCCTGACTTATAGTTTATTGCTGGCTAGATTATATAATAAAAAATTATTAAATTTAAGTATATAAATTTATTAAACGAAATATTGACATAATAAATATTAAAATTACCTTTATTATTGTTGTTGGTGGTACTCTTGTTATCTTAAATGAGATACGAATATATTTTTTAAAGAAAAGCTATAAAATTAAAATATATATATTAAGCTTCGAATTTCAACAGTTCCTGTTTCCTAGTATAATCAAATCAAAATTATATTTTATCTCGAAACTGTGATCAATAATCAATCCTCAAGTTAAAAATAAAATAAAGTGAAAAATTAGCCTTTTTACATTTTCTAAATTAAATTTAAATTCATTTAACCATTATCAAGAGCTATATCAAATATGTAAAAAAAAACCTCTAAGTAATGATTGGGTCCAAAATGTCTTAAAACGAATTCAGTTTAGATATACAGTATGAATCTATATTCAATAAAATGGGCAGGTGAGAATAATTAAATGTTAAATGTATAACCATAATATTTGGCTTATAATGCAAAAAAAGTCTTAGCATTGAGTTTACGTAGATAACAACGTGGATGCCAACCAAATTTCGAGTTTGATTTCATCGATAGTCTCAAAACGCCATTTTCAAAATAAGACACTTCAAAAATTTTTGGCGTAAAAGGAAAAAAACATAGAGAGTAAAAAAATATGAAATAATAAATTTTTATGTTATAAAAAGAATACCAATTAAATTGTAAGATATAAATGTTAGCTTATATCTATTTCACAAAACATATATAGATCGCCATAAATTTTATATGTACTGCGACTTGCAGATCCTTTAATTAAATCATTATAATTACCGGCTTCAAAATTGACTTGTCAAGATGCACATGTGCAAGTGTTTTTTTGGATTTTTTTAGATTTTTAAAAAATCTTTTAAGTGCGGAAGTAAAACTTTTTAAAAAAGTTGCACAAAATACATTTTGAATTTTAAACATTGACTTCAATAATGCCATCATTGATTTTGCTAAAATTCGACATACTATTTTGGTCTCTAGAAATCGAATGGTTATATATGAGAACGTCCTTAATCAGAAGAGAATTCTAGTTATAATTCTCTTTCTATATCTAACACCTCAGCAACAATCATTTCGCTGATAATTTGCTAAACATAAATGCCCGCAACTAATCAAATGCTAACCCTAACCCTATGTGTTGTTGGCTAAATGAGCTTTCGGTGAAATGATTATTTGTGAAGTGAGCGACACCGATCTATCTAACAAAACCATATTGAATGGACAACTATCAAAAGGTTTGCCCAGTTAACATTCCGGTAGACTTTGTTCATTAAAACTACTTAAGCAATGCTACTACTCAACTCTTTGTATACTATTTATTTAGGGTGCAGAAAATGCAGAACAAATTCTCCTTCGCTGATTATTCAAGTCTATCAAATTAAATCATGATTATAACTTACAATCGCTATGTAATGAGAAAAGTTATGAATTCATTAGTGCAATACAAAGAGTAAAATATTATAATGTGCATATCTATGTTTAAAAAAAAAAGTTAATAAATAACTAAATAAAAGAATGGATACTTAGCTCGACATTTTTTCCATTGGTTCTGGATATAAGAAAAAGTTTGCTATATAAAAATATTAGCCGAACTAATATAAAATTTAAAAATTTTTAGGCTGCTATATTTAGAATTTGCTACATAGAGAGGTTAGCTGTATTCGAATTTTGCCATTAATCGATTTTACTACAGTACGTTAAGTTTTGTGTCACAGAGACTTCTAGAATAATAAATTCTAATCTAGATCTTCATCAAAATAACAACCAGTGTTGGCCGACGACCTACGTATACGATCCGATCTTATAAATTTTATAAGTCATTTAGTCATAGCGAAGGTTAATATGAATTTATGACCAATATGATCAAAAAATAAACTGATGACTCGCAAACACACGTTTCAATTCGGAAAAATGTTTATTTAGACCATGTTACATAATTTAGGGTTTTAAAATTTTGGTAGCAAAAAATGATTCGGCAGGAACGATTATTTTCCTCGGATCATAATTAGTGTTCCGCAAAATGGATTCGAGATTCGGATTCGATCCGGATTCGATCCGCGAATCCATCTCGAATCCCATAATTTGCAGATCCTGCGAATCCGAATCCAAACAGAGATTCGATCGATCTTTTTTTTTTTTGAAGTTCTTTTTTTCGAAATGTTACTATTCAAATGCATCGAGCTAATGGTGTCAGATACCAATTTCATTGAAATGATTTTGTAATGAATGTGCAATATACAATAGCGTGATTCCGATAGATTGTAGATGCTAATCTTGTTGCGTGTTTAGTACGTACGTAATTAGATCAAGTTCCAAATTAAGCAGTTAATTAAATATGAGAGAAGGCCTGTCATCGGACTTTCAATTATATTTTGTGTACAGTTAGCTGTCTATGGAAATTCAATCGGACGGCTAACTGCGGCACTCATATGCTTTCTCATTGAATAAAGGTTAAGAGATGGTAAGCATTCGCAATTTTTTTCCAAACTTATTTTTTATTTTTCATGAAAACCTTTAGTATAAGGAATAAATAGTAATTCGTTGACTTCGAGAATGAGGATCCATGATAAAGCTATTTGGACAATATCGATTAATTGCAAATTTTCCAAGCCAGAGATCAATAAAGAAAATTGAAATAAACTATTTTTTTACTAATATATTGAATTTCGTAATAAGCTTTATCTAAATATTTCCGCTAAGTAAAATTTATTCCAGACACTTTTTGTCTTATCAATTAAGGCGCTTGAGAACACCCTTGGAAATCTTTGCATTTACTTCGAATAAGATAATGCAATTTAATATAACAAAATTTTTGTTAGAATTTTGCACAACAGAGAGTTTGCGCTTCGGGTGGGTTAACTGTATATCGGTATAATTTAAAGTAACCTAGTACTTTTTGTGCAACTGCAGAAAGAGATCTCTAGATTCGAATCGGATCGAATCCGGATCTGTATAATGCGGATTCGATTCGAACTTCGGATCGAATCCGAATCTTTAGAAATATTCGCTAGATTCGATCCGTGCGGAACACTAATCATAATTACGTCATAAAGTATTAAACCATATTCGATTAAATCATCAAATTTATAATTTTTAAGACCGTGTTTTAAATTATTTGACATCCTTAATTTAGACCTATTTTAAATATGAAATTTAAAATCTTTTTGAATAGGGCTAGAACTTATAATAAAAAAGAAGTATATGTGAATTTTAATAAGGTGTATTTTCAAACAAAGACCCAATTCAGCATCAGCCGTAACAATTTATTTAATATCCATCAAATAGAGAACAAATTTTAATAATTTAAAAAGTGTGTAATTTCTTGAAGACATGAAACACCAAAATTTAATCACTTGATTGTTCTTATAATTAATGTGATTATAATTGCTAGGAAATGCCACATAATAATTATACGCACATTGTGCTCGTATTTGATTTTATATCAAACTGAGCACAATTATTGTCTGAAGCATTGTAGAAGACTCTATTTATAAGCAAAGGTATATAAAACACCGTTTTTTAATGAGCGAAATTAAGCAGACAATTTGTCACCAAATCCAAGCATTTGGTTCCCAAATTAAATTTAAGTTATCGAATTATATATTAATAATCAATCAATGTTAAACCCCATAAAAAAATTTTGAATCCCCATATCGGCGGATTTCTAAAGGCCCCCAAAAATTATTGGATGATTAGCTAGGGTGGGACAATATATATTTTTATTGTAAATATAATTGAAAAAATTGAAAAGCCGAAGTCTCATTATAAAAAGTAATCAGTTAAAGGGTGGGGTAATCAGTTAGACGTTAATTTTTCTATGAGATTCTTAATTTTTAGGGTACTTCGTAGGACGGACAAATTAGTTGACTATTTGCGTAATTATTATTTAAGGGGTCCTTACTGCTGAGTTAATAATTTTCTATAAGATCTGGAGACTAGAAAAAAGGCCCAAGTTGGAAAATCCGCCGATATGCTGATCTGTACTGATAACGCGTCCAACCCATCTTTCCCACATGCTAACCCATTTCCCCACTCCCCGACACATCCCATTAGACGTGAAAATTTATTAAATGACGCATCATGGGGAATGTTAATTATCTCAGTTAAAACCTATATTTACGTATTAGTAGCAAATTTTTTTTAAAAAATTTTGTGATATTTCGCAAATGCGCCATAATGCTGTTGCTATTGCATATCTATACTCCCGACTTGTGGTATTATCTGAAGTATTTCTATGTGTAGTGCACTAGCAATACAAAGCTAGTAAAATTACCACAAATTTTAGAGAAAAATTTCTGACATAAATATGCTTGCATTAATTTTATTTTAACTCTAACCTATTTTTAATGCGAATAACTAAATTTTGCCATCGTGATTTCCTCAGTACAGTATAAAAAAATGTGTAAAACTATTTGTTAAAGTTGTGTAAAAATTTTAAGAAAGGAATATAAAAGTTTTGGAATGATTAATTAAGAGTTTTATATTGAATTTGAGTCAGAGTTCATAGTTATCTTGGCTAATAGATTTAATAGTAAAGTCGTTTAATATTTTTATCACATATTAATGTCTTTAACAAAAAAAATAACTGATAGAATGATAGTTATTAGGAATAAAGCAATACAAACACACAAGACTAAAATAACGATAACGTAATTTTGTGATGTATACAATTAGCTTAGTAAATAATATAGTAGTAATTTGTTAGTTAAATCTTTGAAAAAAGATTAAAAAAATAGTTGTAAATAAAGCGAGATGTATGGGCGAAAATTTCCAATTTCAATATATTTTATTATGCATAAAAGTTTTTTTGAACAAATCATATGCAAGATTTGGAGTGACTACTGAGATTATATCAGTTGCTTATCAGTTTTTTATATAGTTTACTTTATGGGTCCTTAGATAGCTTATCAGTTTTTATACAGTTATTCTATAGTAATTTAAACCAATTTTAATAATCACAATGAAATTTTCGCTCATATGAGTTGTTTATAAAATTTCCAGAAAAAGTATATGATTCATAAAATGTTTTTTTTACATTTTGGTGTATTATGACGCACTATTACGTGATCTTAGCTAGGATTGTTTGCTAAAAATAGATTTAATATACAGTAATTAAAATCTCGTGTATAGGTGATTTTCCTAGCAAAGAATTGTATTACTGCATCCTTCCTCCGGATATTACCCAAATGAGGAAAATAAAAGAAACTTAATGCTGGCATAAGTAATATCGACTTTTACTTATGTGGTTTAGCAGTTAGAATCAAAAAACTTTTTATATTATTTAATTCGTCTCAGTAAGACGAATCGAATGATACTAATTCGATTCTCCGACCTCGGTCCCAAAACGGTACGGCCTCTTAATATAACATACCCTGATTTGATTGCGTAAAATACCCTACTTTCCCTTACACCAAAACAAACATCACTGTAATCTATAAACTATTATATCCATACAAATTCAATATGTTAAATGACACTATTCGAATACCATTTAATACATTAAATTTTTTATTTTTATCTAATTATGTTCATATTGAATTATGTAACATCAGCTCGAGCCGGCTCGTCGGCTCGGCTCAAAAGCCATGGCTGAGCTGGCTTACTAAAAGCCAATACCATCTCTAAAATTATTATTAGAAGGTGCAATTGTTGGTGCTAATCAATTAAGAGAACATTATTTACTATCTTTATATGAAACAGAAGTTAATAAATTAAATAGAAAAATATATTTCTATAACTGTAGATGAAACCACAGATAGTTGTGGTCAAAGTGTAGCTAATATTTTATCTAGTTATTAAGACCAAACTAAATTAGTCAAAACCTATTTTCTTGATACTGTTAATTACAGTACAATTTCACAAATTATCCTTGATTCTATTTTTTTTATCAAATTCTATATGATCATATTATTCTTTTAATTTCTGATAATGCAAGTTATATTATTAAAGCTTTTACTGATATACTTTCCCCTTTAATTCCTACTTTATATCATAATACTTGTTTAGAACATGTTTTTAATTTAGTTGGTAAAACTTGGATTAAATTTGAAAATTTTGATTTACTTGATCAAGTTGTTTTAAATTTAAAATCTATTTTTTCATATTCTGTAGCAAGAAAAAGAAGATAACTTTTACATTTAGAATCTTCTATTTCTAATTTATCTTCTATTAAAGTTACTCCTCCACCTTTACCTGTTAAAACTAGATAGAATTCTTGGTTTAAATTTATAATTTGGTTAGGTTCTTATATTAAATACTTTATATCTTTTATTTCTCAAGAAAAACAAATTGATAAAAATAATAAGACTATTTCTAAATTAGATACTATTTTTCAAAAACCTGATCAAATTTTATATTTAGAAATTTTAATTATGTTTATTAATTTAAATGCTTAAAGGTAAAAATTTTAATTAATATATATTATTTGATTTTTAAACTAATTTTATTATCTTTATAGATTAATTGCAGATTTAGAATTTTTTAAAATTTGAGAAAAACCTCTAGCTCCCTTTGTAATTTCAAGATTGAATCATATACAAGCTTTTTTACAAAATAGTAGTAATAATCCACCTCTTAATGAAGAAATTATTTCTAAAATACAAAATGCAAATTTAAATATTGAAAATTTTAAACTAATTTTTTCTGAAGCTTTTAAACTTTAACTAAATTTGAAAACCATATTAATTCACATTCAGCTTATTCTCTTTTTGAAGCAATTCAATGCTTTGATCCATTTTATATTCATATTTCATCTAGTAGACATAATCTTAAATTATATGAAATAATTCCTCAATTTAAAAATCTTTCATCAAATTTAATATTAAAATGAGCAACTTATTGTGGATTAAATGAAAAAATTGATAAAGATTTAGATTTAAATGAATATTGGAAAGAAAAACAAAGATATTTACCAATATTAGCAAAGATAGCATTAAATTATATTTGGCTTCCTATTTCTGGTGTAGATGTTGAGAGAAGGTTTAATGATTATAAAAATATTTTAGATGATAATAGACAAAAATTATCAGAAGAATCTCTTAAAAAATCAAATTTTTATACTTTAATTTGTAATTCATTTATTTATAAATTTTTTAATACAGTATATTTAGTGATGTGCCATTTATATGATACCTGAAAAATTTTAGCGTACAGTACGTACTGTACGTATAGTTCTTTTCCGGCATCTGATTGGCTGGCAAAAGTGATCGGCAAAAATTTTAGCGTACAGTACGTACAGTACGTACAGTACAGTACGTATAGTACTGTACGCGGCACATCACTAAGTATATTCCTCTTTTATGTTAATTTTCTATCGCTTATTTTTCTACAAATATTTTCTAACCAATACAAACTATCTCCCTGAAATTACTTCCATGACACTACCTCCTTGACAATACTTTTCCCCCAATATAACACATTTCGGCTCTACTACAAAATCCCGATATCCAAAATCCTGAAAATCAAAATTCCGATGGTACCAAAATCCTGTCAGGTTTAAATCCCAAAAATATTGAAATCTTACAGTAATATGACATCAGAATTTTAGTATTGTCAGAATTTTGGTACTTGAGATTTCGATTTTCAGGATTTTGAGTGTGGGGTTTTGGATGTTGGGATTTTGTAGTAGAACCATCTATTTCTCCGATATATCTGTTTCCCTGATGTATCCATTCCTCCGACATTTCTCCGACATTTCTCTGATGTATCCGTTTCCCATACACCTTTTCTCGACGATTTTGGGTCAAAATCCTGAACAGCAGATTATCGAAAGAGCATAACACCGACTAAATTGGCCACTAGTGCCGGACAACTTTGTCAGTATTATGTTCTTTCTGGAATCCATTTTTCGGGATTTTGACCCAAATTCTTCCCCGACATATACATTCCCTGACATGTCCATTTCTTTAATATATTTATTTTTCAACATTTTCATTTCTCACCATATACAATTCCCGCTACAGTATATCTATTTCCCGCCATATCTATTTCCTGACATATTCATTTCTCAAACACATCCACTTCCCGGTATTTCCCCTTCTTCAACATTTCTCCTTTCTTGACATTTACCCTTCTCTAACAATTCCACTTCCCTAATATTTTCGTTTCCCAACATTTCCACATCTTACCTCACCACCATAACCATTTCTTCGACTTGTTTTATTTTTTTTAATTTTATCATATTTTTTTTATATATATACTTTTTAATTCTTTTTTTTTTAATTTTTTTTAATTTTTTAATTTTTTTCAATTTAGCTTTATTTAATTTATTGTTATGTCTATTTAAAATCTTATTAATTCATCTTTATCTTAACTTTTTTATTTTTTTATTTTTTACAGCAAATAATGATAGAAATCACAACCGTTAATTCCAAACTAAACTAACTCGCCTTAATCACATACTATGTATCACTGCAGTGATCAGTAAGTTTTGTGCTAAAGTTTTTTACATAAATTAAAATATCGATAGTTCTAATGCAATGATTAATTAATAAGTGCTGCCAAGGGAAATGCACCACAGGCCTTCAATTATATTATCTGATTAGCCATCATTTACGACATTTAATTATATTATAATTGAATGTGGGGTTGAATCAAAGAAATATATTTGAAAGTCATTGGTGCTTTTTCCCTTGGCTGTGCTTATACTGTATGTTGACACATAATAGACGGGGATATGATCAATTTACCGACAATCACTTAGTAGACACCACATTTCACTGACAATTACTTACCGACAAGTTCATTTCACCGACAGTTTATTTCACCAAAGCCCATTTTACAGACAATGTAATTATGGTCAATATCATTAGGGTTAGGTTAGAATTAGAGTTAAAGTTAGTGTAGTTTATAAATAAAACTTGTCGGCGAAATGAGCTCGGTGAAATAGAATGTCGGTAAAATGAACTTGTCGATGAATAAAATGTGGTGTCTATGAAATGATTGTCGGTAAAATAATACGGACCCAATAGACGGTATATATGAGTCAGAAAAATACCTCTTATTTGGTTGTTTTTTTGTTCGTAACTAAAAATATGTTATCAAATTAATTATTATATAAAAATAAGTTAATTCAATTGAAATGTTTTAACTAACTTCTCACCTTTCTTAAACTGATCCTCAAAGCCCTTTAAGCATGCTGCAATATCAATTAATTCTTTATAGCAGTGGTCAAATATAAAGCTAAAAATATTTATTCTTATTAATGATACAACGAATAATAATTTTTTTTTTTGCGCTAGCTAACTTGTCATGTACAAATTCTGCATAAAGTTGATCATCAATATAAATTTGACCAACAACAATACACTATTTAACTGCGGATTCTGCAAATTCTGCAAAATGCACCGCAGAATTTGTAGAATTTCTGCAATTGCAGAAATCTGAACACCCTAGTACGTACTTACGTACGTAAGTTGCCGCACAAACTACAATTTGATACGGCACATCCCAATGATTCAAATTTCACCTGCTCCTTAACTGGAGGATGGATTCCTTTTTTACGCTTGTATTACAACTATGCATAAATAAGTGATCCAAAATTTCCAAATTGGATACACTATACCGATACAAAATAAAAATTTACTAATTTGTATTTAAATAGTTACATCGGGATAATTCTTGAATGAAATAATTTTCCGTTTATCCGTAACCCAAATTAGGTGCATCGTAAATTATACCAGCTCCCTATAAAATGGAACAAGTGTAAGTGCAAGATTTTTTTACAAGCATATATAAAATTATTTCTATAAGTGCAAGATATTTATTTAATTTATTAACTTGCAGTTTGAGGGAATTAATTATATATTAATTTAATTTTCTTTAATTGCAAATTCTCTCTAAATGCAAGAAATTTTTCTGGTCCATTGACTTGCATTTAGAGAGAGTTGACTGTGAATAGGATCATTTTGAAAGCTCCGTTTATAAGGCAATTTTGGTAATTTCGAGTGGGAAAGTCGACCATAAGTCAATGGACTTCCATTGTGCATGTCATTTTGCAGCTGATCGCTCTTCAGTAGGGTTGCAATTACCATTGGACTTGAATAATGAGTTTGATTATGAATTTAATAATATGGTGTCCTCTGTTGAGACGGTTCCAACTCTGGTCCAAGATCCTTTTCAACAATCCTCCTTTATAAAACCTTCATTTCCGCCAACAATTGACAACGATGACTTGGTTGAACCGAAAGGTGACAAACTCTCAAAACAATCTAGAGCTAATAAAATTAAGAACTCTCAAGCTTGCATTCACTGTCAAAAGTCTAAAGTTAAATGCAACTATTTGGATAACAATAATCCATGTAAACGATGTGCTGAAAGAGGATTCGAATGCACTTTCTATCCACAACAAAGGAGAGGCCCTAAGCCCGGCAAAAAAACTAGATTAGGTACACAAAATTTAGAAGATTTTCGAAAATTAAATCGAGACTTTACACGAAAGGCTCATAAACTCGGATTTAGTGTACACACCCATATTGTCGCATATCCAAATAATAACTTAGATACACCGATTCTAAATTATAATGCAACTTTGCCCATGGAAGAAAATTTATTTATGGTAAATCCAGAATCAGCGGTTCATCCTCCACCGCTATCAAGATCATCTTTTAACGATTGTGAAGATTCGAATAGTTCAATATCGATTTTAGATAATCACCGGTTTTTCATGAATAACGAAATCGAAACTGACCCTAGGTTAGCATTACCTTATCATAGCTCTCATCAAAATTAAATGCTATATGTTTGATTTTGTCTCCTTTCTTCTCTTCACACATTCTATCCCCTTTCCCGGCTACTCTCACCGAAATTACCGCTTCCCTTCCCTTCACCTATAAACCCTTTCTAATAATTAACTCTATGTTCGACCCCCCTTCCGACGAACAACTTTCGTCGAAATAAGTATCTTTTAATTTAGTCAATTCGCACAAAAGCTAAAAGTATCTAAACGTTTGCCCTATAAAAAAAAATCTCTTAGAATTGCTCGAAAAATTCTGAAATTATTCGATTTTTTGTTCGAAAAATCGACTCCATTTCGAACATTTAAAGGATATTTATTGGATGAATGCGTTTTTTATACGTTTTTTATACGATAATTTTCAACCAAAAATTTTCTATTTCTTACATCCCGTACAAATGTCGTTATGAAAACAGTGTAAACATAAACCCTGTTCGGAAAATCGACTCCGTTCCGAACATTTTTTTGGACAATGCCTACAATAACTGTACAAACTTTTTTTATAGGGTTGTTCTAATCTACTTTCGAAAAAAGAAGAACGCAGCATAAATGACTTAATAACAATTGAAATCTAATTTCAATTAATTCGGTTAATCACGCATTAATACTGTAATAGTTTTAACGTCAAACTTAGATCGGCAAAACGAGATGTTCAAATATTCGTAAAATTGGCAAAATCAAATTAAGAATAAGATTCTAAGTTGTATTAAGAAAATAAACATATATATTAATGTATAAGTTACACCTTTTTATAATAGTAATGTGAATAAATATATTTTATTTGACAATTTTAGCGAAACTTACTGAAAGTAATTTATGAAAAAACGCTTATAAAGCGAGTGACAAAATATTCGAAAACAATGTATTGTCATTTTTAGAATGGCTGATCTATTACCAGTGATTTTGATTTTAACGAATGCTACAACCTCAGGATTCATTTAAAACCAAATCATCAAAAACAGATCGATTATTTTCGAAATATACTTGTTAACGAAGAATTTTCGAAAAAAAATATGATCACTATATACAATGGGGATGACCTTAATAATTGCTAAACCATTTTTTGATGATTTCGGCTTAAACGAATAAAATAGTTGATTCAGGATTAAAATATCCTACATACAAGTTATAGCCATGATACTGGTATGTGCAGTTGATTGGCTATCTATATACTGCGGCACAAAAAAATTTTGGGGTTTAAAATTTTGTGACCCGGCCAGATATGAAAACCAATTTATTTTTTGTGACACCTAATATAAATTTTTTTAATTTGAATTTTATAATTGCAATTAATATAAAACGCACCAATGGTGTTTTAGCACCATATATAATTTTTTTTTAATAAACTTTAGGGTTAGGGTTCGGGTATTAAGATTTTTTTTTTTTATATAATATAATATAGAACTAATATAAGGTCCGGATCTCGGTTTTCGTGAGGTTTTTGGGGGTCCTGGACATTTTTACTTAGAGTACCCGATCCCGTTTACTTAGTACGTTTTTGAGAAATAGGGACCTATACCAGGAACGGAGTACAAAGTACGTAGAGTATGGTTTACAGGCATTTAAAATTCTGTGTCTCTTTTGTGTCTGATTGGTTAATCTATTCATGTGGCTTCATATTGTATTTCTATATTTGTGCATACTCTATGGGGCTTGGTCTACTGCATGTTTGTAATCGGAGAATATTCTAGACTATTACAGTATGATATTCAATTCTGGGTCTTTAAGATAGGTTAGTCATGGCAAAAAAATATCGAGATCACAAGATCAATGATCTTTTCGGCCACTTTGACATAGCTTGATAAATTATAATTCATTATTAAAAATTATAAATAAATTACTGGACAATCAAGATACACAATTGTAATTTATGTACATGCTCCGAGTAGTCAGAAGCGCTCGTTTGGTCTTGTGATCTCAACATTTTTTTGTTATGACTAACCTATTTGGGTCAGTATGTTCTGTGTCATTTTTCACAATTTAAGTCAATTACAAATTGACCTAAATCATTTTTAAAATTTGAAATGACATATGTTATTTCTTAATCAGTAAAAACATAAATTTATACGACTAGATAATAAAGAATTATATCCTTTTGCATAAATAAATATGCCATAGAAAATTTACACAATTTTACATATTAATTAATAAAATGTAAAATTTGTGTAAATTGCTGCTATATTAAAAACGAAATGCTTTATAAAACTTAAATAAAAAAAATTTTGTATTATAAAAAAAATAAAAAATAAGCCATATAAAAAATTCGCATAACTAAAAATTACATAAATCTAAAAAGGAATCATTAAATTTGCATTCACCATGTAGAATGAATCCATATCGTCATGTACATAACAAGTTATTTTTTTGGTAGAAATCTTTTATAGAACAAAACAATATCTCATATGAATTTTTTTATGTTATTAAAAAGAAAAGTAAGTATATAATAAAACCAACCAAAATAAAAACCTTTTGTCTTGACCAGTACATTCTGCTGCTCATATGCGACACAAATTATCATAAAAATTTTTCAGTTAAACAAACTTGCACCCAGGTTATTTTCAGTTGGCTTAATTATATCAATTTCTTCAGTCGTATCAACATAAAAAATTTTAAAATTATGTCACCCAATATTTAAAAGTTGGGTTTTGTAAATTGTTTGTACATTAAATATTGATTATATTTATTTCGATCCATTAAACTATGTTTGTTTTTCATTTGAAGAATAAAATTTCCAATATTTGATCAAAGGTTTTATGCACCAGGAAGTTGTATTGTTCTATTTTTAAAATTAATAAGAAAGATTTATTTAAAATTAAATATTCAAAGACTATATATATATTTTTTAATATTAAATAGTATGGTATATGTAATACATTTGTAGTATAATAAATTAATATGTGATTCTGAGATCTAATTTTTATTAAATTTGAGATAAAAATTGAAGTTATTCTTCTATTTGTCAAATGTCATCATCAAAATTTTATAAAAAAATAATAACATGTGCATGTTATATAAAATGTGTATAATATCACATGATATAATTTTTTTTGATTTTATATTTTCCCTCTGGAAAATATCAGATATTTGCTAAAAATTTTTTCCAACTCTTCTCATCTTTATATTCATTCATTCATTTTCTTTCAAAATTTTTCAAACCTTCTGCATTCCTATTTCTTAATTTTGCCTGGTATTATATACCTTAGCCTAAATTAAATATACTTTAATTTTCCTATATAAAATTTTGATGGGATAAAATATGCATTCATGCACATGATTGAGGAATATGCACATGCATAAAACCTATCTCTAGGTGTGACTGATTATCCTATGTAACAAGTTAGCACTAGCACACATATAGCATTAAGAATAGATCCAAGTCATTTCTAAATCAGTGAAAATTTAAGAATGACATAGATCAATTCATAATTGACCTAAATTGTGAAATGACATCAAACATGTATGCATTAACATTTTTAATTAGTCATAACTAAAAATGTGACCTGAATGTGAAAAACCTATATAGATATACAAAAATGATTATGATAATTATCTAATTATTACAACTTTTCTGTAATTATTGTGACATTTTGATAATGTTATCATGAATTGATTATCAATATATAAAATCAAGATAACTCTTTGTTGCATGATTTTAGATCAAGTTTCATATGCTATTTATATTATGTTAGCTAGGATATGAATAATAATATTTATAAAATACAGTAGTAACTCTGTATATTATGGAATAATAAGTTTTTTACAGAATTTTCACATAATTTAGAAATCACAATAATTTCAATATAAACTAATTTAACTCTCACTACAATGTGTTACTGAAATAGCAATTATTTTTTGTAATAAAAATTACAAACAACTTTAACTATTGTATTTTACATTAGCAAGCAAGTTCTGTAGCAGAATTTTTAACAATAACTTAACAGATTTTAACTGCATACAGTGTTTCACTAGAATAGTGAGTAAGTTTTGAAATAGAATTTTTCATAGCAATTCATAACAATCTAATGCAAACTAACTCAATCTTAACCATATATTATGAATACTAAAATAGCAAGTGTTCTGTAACAGGAGGCTTTACTGCAATAGCTCAACCTTAATTGCATACTATGTATATTAGAATATTAAGTTGGATTGGAATTTTTTACAATAATACTAATACAAGTTAACTAAACTTTAACTACATACTATAATTTTTGGATAGTAAGATTGTATAACAACTTTTTATATCAGATCATAGATAATTTCAATATATATATTTGTTATCAAAATAGTAAGTTTTGTTTATAGTAACTCACAATAAAAATTACAATTACAATACAACTTTAATCACATATTATATATTGAAGATTTTGTTATAGTAACTCAGTAAAAATTATGCAACTTAACCACATATTGTATACCATTGGAATAAGTAAATTTTTATCAGAATTTTTATAATAATTCACAATAGAAATCATGATAATTCAATGCAAACTAACTCAATCTTATAACAATTTCAATGCAAACTAACTTAGCCTTAATTATATAATGCATTTACTAAAATAGAAAGTATATTTCATATATGATGAAAATTACATTAATTCCAATACACAGCTAATCAACCTTAATTACTGAAATTTTTATAATAGATTGCAATGAAATCTTTATAATTTAATTCTTGGTTTGAAAGTTTAAAAGTTTTAATTTGTCTAAGTATTCAAGATATACAATTAACCTTATTTTTATTATTCTGGCTTAGTATATATATATATATTTTTATGGATTAAGGAGACCTCTTTGGCCTGAAAGCTTTTATTAGAGCATTAATGATGTTTTATAATGCAATTACAATGATAGTACATCAAGCTACACATATATCTTTTGGGTATCTAATTTAAGTAGTTTGTCTGAAGGTTCTACACTATTTGCTATACCTGCACCTTAACTAGAAAGGTACTTATTTAAACTATCTAGTTCAACTGCCACCTTCAAGTCTCTAA